ATATATATATATATATATATATATATATATATATATGTATGAATGTCAATGTTGTGTTAAGGGATGTTTTTTAAATTAAAGGAATTTCACAGTTGATCAATCCAGTGGTAGTAAAGGTCAAAGCGAAATGGTGCTACTAATTTTTCTTCGTGGACGCTTGCAAACATCACATTTTCTTGTGAAAACTAAAAATGAAAAAAAATTATACAAAAAATTATTAGCATGGAAAGTATGCACTTTTGTTATTTAGCACTTATTGTATTACGTACGTAAGAACCATTTGCAGTACGTCTAATTCAAATTCTAAAAAAAGTGAAATCAAATTTATCTTTTCTTGTAAATAATTGATGTAAATAATTTTTATTATTAAATTATTTGACTTTTCAAGTAAATAATTTAAGATTAATACGTAAATTATCATCAGTTACTGAGCAAAATTGCAATAGAGTTGTTAGAAAACATTTTTTTTGCAGAAAAGTATAAACTTTCAAAAAAATGATCAGACATTTGCATTTCATTTTACAACACTTGAAGCCAACGAACCAGAAAATAGTGAAGAAATTTTCAGGTTTTAAATTCTTCATTCAAAATTTTATCACAATTAAGATAAGTTTAAAAAGTGTAAGATTGAAAGGTTGTAAAGTTGAAAGTTTTATAAAAAATATGCTTATTTATTTGAATTAATTTTTACTTCACGTAAATACCCAAATGGATCACAGCGGGTATCATATCATCATGCTCCACTTTATTATTACTCTTACTCTTACTCTTACTCATACTCATATCTTACACTTCAGGGAAATTTTCGGTATCAAACCATTTGCACTATGTCTTAATGGAAAGCAGTCATCGACTGGTGCATATCATTACAAGATGGATTGGTTCCGTCGACGAAGTGGCCCAGTTTACGTAATTGTCAACATGAAAGTTTTGACGGAAAACTTTTGATATCATTTGTAGTTGTTGTTACTCATTTATTTCTAAGCCTTAAGCTTCTTACGTACAAATAAACAAGATAACTCGGATTTTTGTGCCACATCTATTTTTAATTGATAATTTATTATACGGTAAAATTTTCAAAGTTGCTACATTTCGATAAACATTGCTGAATTCAGAATCTCATAATTTATAAAGATAATTAATATAATACAGAGATTGATATATTTAATAAGTTTTGTTAAAAAGTATAAATCGCAACTTATTATGCTAACTAATAAAACGACTTAGAAGAGGATAAAATGTGACGAGTAAGCTAAGTCTGGCAGTTTTTCTTTCATTTGAATACGATTTTAGTAACGTACGTGTATGTTTGTTTTTCTTAGTTGTTGACTTCTGATGGAAGATTCTAAATGCAACTGCTTTTTTCTGAATGCTCGCAGTGAACGATAATTTAAAAAACAGTGCTGAAAGAAAGATTTTTTGACTTTACAAATGAAAGATTCACACATATTTCTTCCTCTCAGTCAACTGATTATAATTCTGATAACAGTAATATTATCAAATAAGAATTACAGACGCAAACAGCTATTCGAAGAAATTGCTCGTCATCGGAGAAAAAAATCATTAATCAGAATGATAAGTTTTCGTAAAAATCTTTTCTCACAATATAAATCAAAATAATCACAATAATAGTACTGAGCACATATTTTGTAAAAAGCTGATATGCAATCATTTATTTCAAAAGTGAATTGCAAACAGATGCAGTGATTTCTTCAGTATACACATTTTGGAAGTTGAAGGAGTAACCATTAGTAGATAGTACTATATCCCATTACATGCAGTAATATAAGTGTAGGTCGGACAACTATTAATTTGTGAATTAAGTAATTAGTGATAATTTGTATTAGCTTTTATTGTTTATCTTATTCACAGAGTTTTGTCATTATATGTATTTCAATACAAGCTGTAATTTTGTGATTAGTAATTAAAAACTGTGATTAGTCAAGAAAAAATTTTGCTATAGGAAGTTTTTTTTCTGATTTTCAAAGGTTCAAAATTATTTTGTTTTCAATTTATTAGTCTCACACTAAATTCCACGCAGCTTTAAATCTGAATATGACAAAATGATCTGCAAGTATGGAGTAATGTCGAGATGTGTGTGAAGAGACTGATCGAATTTTCATTAGAGCATATAAACTGTTGATAATATCTGACGTGTATTATTTCTGTGATTAGTAATTAAAAAATGAATCTTTTAATTATTGTAATAACTAAAGTCAGTAATTAATATTTATTTATGTGTTAATTCAGATGAGTTTATTTGACTTCACTGAAAACGAGCAGAAGTTTTTAGTTGTAGAAAAGTAATTACATTTGGTTCATACAATAATGCGATACACACGATTGCTTACTCTAAAGATTTTAATATTTTTCAGTTCATGTAAGTTAATTTTTATAAGTTATTAATTTAAAGGATTTACTTATGCAAATAATGAACATATTTGTATTTACTTACTGTTAGATTTGTTGTTACTTGACATTTTTATTTCGAAAAAGTTTAAAATTGAATCAAATCAAAAATTAGTAATGGACTTTTTTCAAATTGCAATTTTGCTAATATAAGAATCAATCCTTCCATTGCTACTTTCTTTATGCAATCTGAAGTAATTATATATTCATCCTTTCATCTGTGCTAGCACTGAATCACTGAATCACTGAATCACTCACTCACTCACTCACTCACTTACTTTACAACTGACTTCATTGAATAGAGCAACTTTTGATTCCTTTCATCAACTACAACAATAGCATTTTTGAACTCAATTACTAGTTAGCATTTTCAACTAAGTATAACAACAATTTTTCTGAATGATAGGATGAAAAATTCAAATTCAAATTTTGCATACAAAAATTCGATAAATCAATCTTAAGCTATATATATAGTTTGTGGGCAACAATTTATCTGATCAGCTCAAATTTCTTGCAAAGAGAAAGAGGTGGAAAGTTATGGAAGTTTATGCTCAAAGAAAGACCTGAATTCCGGTAGAAAAAAAAGAATTGACTCTAAAAACTATTTATTTATTTGTTTATTTATTTATCCATCTATCCATCTATCTATCCATCCATCTATCTATCTCTCTATCCATCCATCTATCCATCTATCTATATCTATCCATCTATCTATCCATCCATCTATCTATCTATCTATCTATCTATCTAATCTATCTTTAAAGTATGAATTGTGAGTGTCTCGAAAATGAGGAGATATTGCTCTGTGATGATTACTTACTGATGAGAGAATGTAATAAGTAATCATACTATGGCAAGAGTGAGTGAGTGAGTAACGTTTAACTTTGCGATTACAACAACGCTCTGTGTCTTCGCAATTTCTGCTAAACCTAAACTTCACTTATCGTTCTCACTTGAGAGACACACTAAGAAAATAAGAAAACTGCCAGCTTCGAGTTTTGCTATCATTTATTTTAGACATTTTGGTGGATTATAATCGCATCTGATAAATTACTGCTATTCTTTGACTAATTACCTTCTGTACATTGAATATTCAGAGGAAAAATTTTGCTGACAATATTATATTCCGTCAAATTCTGATTTCTAAGCCTTATCATTACTGACTTAATACAGTAGTTAGCACGAACTACTCTTCTTATATCACTTGGCAATTCTGTTTCTGTTGGCAAGGCATATTCTCGTGGAGTAACTTGTGCATTCAGTATAACAAGTTGACCTTATCCTTGACTTTGGTGAAATTGTGTACCATTTATAGTATATATGGTATGCGATGTTTATGCTAATATCAGTTGGCATTATATTTGCTCCAATTATTTTATTTGCTCAAAGAAGTCAATTCGAAGTAGACTGTCCACGACTATGCCGATGTAACAAAACAACAATAGAATGCTATGATACTCGACTTGAAGGCAATGAAATGTTCCGCAATATCCGTCCAGAAGCTTATCCAGATTTAGATACTATTACTATTACCGGTAATATTATCGGAGATCTTGCTGGTTGGAATATTTTTGGTGATAATGTCACCAATCACTATGTATCTCTTCTTAATTTATCAGATAATGCTATTAGTTCTATTGATTCATACACGTTTCGTGGTTTACCTTCCGTGGAATATCTTTACTTGCATAATAATGCTATTGAGCGAATTGGTGCTGATCCATTCCGGTTTGTGCTTTACCACATTCATCTTTTTATTTGCTTTACAGTTAAGAATTGGTATTTTGTTTTTTGTCCACAAATTATTTCTTCTATTCTATTTACTATAAATAATGAATACAGTAATAATTATACTGCCAA